ACCCCACCAGTGCATTATCGGGGCTGGGGAGGGACACAGGAGGTTGGCCAGCCAGGGCAGGACCATGGGAGGACCCCAGAGCATATCCAGCCCATCTCACTCAGTCCGGATCAGCCAGACCCCAGCAGCAAGCTAATACTGGTTTGAGCGTCTACCCCCTGGTGGTCAGTGCATGTAGTGAGCAGTTGAGCAGCTTTAGCATATCATTAGCATATTATACTTTGATTGGTTGAACAGACAGCTGGATACCACATATTAGGCTTTTATTGTATAGGACTAGAGGCCTGGTGTATGAATTTATGCACATTGAAAGGAAATTAATTAGAAGAAATATTTTAATATCGCTATTCACCTTTCTCTATAATAGAAGTGTCAGCCAAATTCAAGATCAACAGTGATCAACGATGACAGATTGGCACCAGCAAGAGCTTTATATATAGATAAATTTACTTAATTAGACCTCTTTCTGATTTAGCTAAACTTTTCCCAGCCCAGTGAAGCACCCCAACTTCTCTTTCAGGTTATTGTCAGTAACAAAACAGTAAATATCAACACAAAGCAGATTATTATTGTAGTTCACACAGAGAGAACAGAATGTAAAATATTTAACTGCAACAGTGTTTGACTATATTCTGTGCAGTGAGAAAACCTGAAGTCATTTTTAGGGTCACCATTTCTTACTTCTTTTCAGTTGGGTCAAGTTTCTAAGCTTTATAAATATTCACTTTCTGGCTAATGGAAAGAAAATAGGATTCCACTGAATCTCCTGTCTACCTACTCCAGGACTCCTGTGAGGATCAAATGAGATGAGGCAGGGGAGAATGCTTCCCAGACATTTGGTTAAAGTGTAAAATGTTTCCACTTGTCTATAAAGCAAGTCAGGTTCCTGGGCTGAAGAAACTCTAAGAAGGCTAGTTACTAGGGATAGGAGGCCAGCCGTTGCTACATGATGTCATTACCTGGTGCCCACAGACACCATTTCTGGGCTGGACTGGGCTGTGGGTCACATTTTGCACCATGGGGCCTCAGCAGCAGCAGCTGCAATTTGGTGGGGTGTCACTTCAGGTTGGTGATGGGGCCTTGTCCCACTTGGGGGAAGCTGAGTGTTGCTTTGTAGGCGCCAGATTTGTGATGCCATTTCTCTGTAAATGGCCAGTGTGTATCGCAGCAGCTCCTGCATTGAGCATCTGCCCCCTGATGGTCAGGACGCATCATAGCGACCATCAAATGGCCAGATACTTAGCATATTAGCCTTTTATGTAGATAGATAGGTTAATAAGAATGAGATAACACCAGTAGTTATGTGTGTGTATACATGAAAAGATGCCCAAACTGTATTCTTAAACAAGTTGCTCATGAACCCCTCAGAAAATTGTCAATTCCCGCAGGCTGTGGCTCAGTGGTGGAGCATCAACCTATGAACAAGAAGGTCACAGTTTGATTCCAGGACAGAGCACATGCCTGGGTTGCAAACTTGATCCCCAGTGTGGAGCATGTAGGAGGCAGCCAATTAAGGATTCTCATCATTAATGTTTCTTTCTCTCCCTCCCTCTCTCTTCCTCTCTGAAATAAATAAAAATATATGTATTTTTAAAAATTGTCAGTAATCTAAATCTTTTTTAAAAGTGTTACCATCTATTATACCCTACTTATCAGGCAACTTTTTTTTTTCTTGTCATGATGCCTTCAGTTTTTTCTTCTCCTGATATAGTATATGGGAATATTATAGGATGGAGGGGATTGTCATTAAGAACACTTTCTGAGAATTCTTTGTTTTTATGTTAGTTATAAAGGGAATTACTTGTTATTCATCTGTTGAATTTTATTGGACATACAAAATAAAATAAAAATAAAAATAAAATATGTAACATATACAAAAGAATACATAGGTGTTTGTGAATTAGAAAGTAGTGCATGTTTAGATGAGGTGAAGGTAGAATTAACATGAAAAGGTTATTTAGGGAAAGCTTCAATGAAGCTTTATTATTATTTTTTTTAAATAAATTTTTATTGTTCATATTATTACAAATGTTCCTTCCCCCCGCGTCCCCCATTTCTCTCCTCCACCAGGTCCTGCCCCACTCTCTGCCCTTTCCCCACCCCCCATTGTCCTCATCCATAGATGCACAGTTTATGTTCAGTCTCTTCCCACATCCCCTTCTCCCCTTTTCCCCAAGAATCGTCAGTTCACTCCCCTTCCATACCTCTGATTCTATTATATTCACCAGTTAATATTGTTCATCAGATTTTTTTTTTAATTTCCTTGGTTTTTAGATTCACTTGTTGATAGTTACGTATTTGTTGTTCATAATTTTTTTTAAATTTTTTTTTCATTTTATTGATCTTTTACAGAGAGGAAGGGAGAGAGATAGAGAGCTAGAAACATCGATGAGAGAGAAACATCAACCAGCTGCCTCTTGCACACCCCCCACTGGGGATGTGCCCGCAACCAATGTACATGCCCTTGCCCGGAATTGAACCTGAGACCTTTCAGTCCACAGACCGACGCTCTACCACTGAGCCAAACCGGCTTCGGCTGTTGTTCATAATTTTTATCTTTGTTTACTTTCTCTTCTGAAAGAACCCCCTTCAGCAATTCATATAATTCTGGTTTGGTGTTGATGAACTCCTTTAGTTTTTTTTTTATTAGTGAAGCTCTTTATCTGGCCTTCGATTCTGAGTGATAGCTTTGCTGGGTAGATTATCTTTGGCTGTAGGTTCTTACTATTCATCACCTTGAATATTTCTTGCCATTCCCTTCTGGCCTGCATGGTTTCTGTTGAGAAATCAGCTGACAGTCGTATAGGTGCTCCTTTATAGGTAACTACCTGCTTTGCTCTTGCTGCTTTTAATATTCTCTCTTTGTCTTTTGCTCTTGGAATTTTAATTATGATTTGTCTTGGTGTGGTCCTCTTTGGATTCCTTTTGTTTGGAGTTCTGTGCGCTTCCTGAACTTGTAAGTCTAATTCTTTCACCAAGTGGGGGAAGTTTTCTGTCACTATTTCTTTTAGTATGTTTTCGATATCTTGCTCTCTCTCATCTTCTGGGACCCCCATAATTCTGATGTTGGTTCGCTTGAAGTTGTCCCAGAGGTTTCTTACATTATCTTCAATTTTCTGGATTCTCTTGCCTTCTTGCTTCTGCGGAGGAGTGTCTTCTTCAATGAAGCTTTAAATTTGAATCTCAGAGGAGCAAAATAGTGGGTTAGAGCTTTTATGATGGAAGCAGAATGGAACAATGAGATTGAGGAGCATTGGAATTAGAGAAGTGATGGAAGTAAGGACTGATTCTAGGGAAGCTCATAAAGTGTTCTGAAGATACTTATCAATGTTATAGCAGAACTCAAAACTAATCCTGTGTCAGCATGAGAAAAGGAGATGACAACCTGGTGCCAGAGCTGCAGACTGTGTAGTAATGTGCAGGAATAGCAAAGACATCTATACTTATAAAAGGGTAATATGCAAATTGGTCAGGGCAGTGAGGTGCAATCAGTTTAGTGGGGGAAGAGGACAGTTAAGGGTGACCAGACTGGCAGGGAGGGGCACTTGGGGCAATCAGGCAGGCAGGCTGGCAAGTGGTTAGGAGCCAGCTATTCTGGATTGTGAGAGGGATGTCTGACTGCTGGTTTAGACCCAATGCCTGGGATCAGGCCTAAACCGGCAGTCGGATATCCCCAGAGAGGTTCTGGATTAGAGAGGGAGTCTGGACTGAGGGGAACTGTGCCCCCTCCCACACCACAACCCCCTCTCCCCCATGCATGAATTTTGTGCACCGGGCCTCTAGTAATTAAAATAAAAGAGGAAGGTCCAAGACACCCATCACCTTTTCCTTGGGGAACTGAATAGCCACCTGGTAACCCAGTGTTGCTATCCCCTCCCCCCAGTCTTCTTTCAATATAGCCGCCAGAATGGTTCTCTCAAAGAGTCATGCCACATCAAAACCTCCAGTGGTCCCTCATTTCAATTAGAGTGGCTTAAGAGGTCCTAAAGGAACTCTTTGACCTCATTTTCTTGTATTTCCCCCCTTGATTATTCTAGTCCAAACATGGTCCTTTCTCAAAACCATCAGTTTCTCATGTTAAGGCCTTAGTACCTACTCCTTCTGCCTGAAACACTTCTCCCAGATATCCACCTATCTTATTCTTTTTTTTTTTTTTTTAATATATTTTATTGATTTTACAAGAGAGCTAGAAATGTCGATGAGAGAGCTGCCACATCGACCAGCTGCCTCCCCCCCCCGGGGATGTGCCCGCAACCAAGGTACATGCCCTTGACCGGAATCGAACCCTGGACCCTTGAGTCCGCAGACCGACGCTCTATCCACTGAGCCAAACCAGTCCCGACCACCTATCTTATTGAATCTTTTACTCATATGTTACTCTCTTAAAGAAATGTACCTCTGATCATCCTATTTAAACTTTTCTGTCTGCCTCTCTTCCTCCATATTCCTTAAGCATTTCATCTTCTAATATAGTATCTAACTTACTTACTCACTATGTCTATTGTCTTAGGTTTAGTACACTCATGTATCCCATGCACCTAAAACACTGCTTGTCACATTATATATGCTCAACAATTGTTAATTGAATGAAATTAATAGATTCAAAAGCTTATAAAGATAGCAATTACAATCTAAGAGAAAGCTCTATGCTAGTGCAGTGAGTTGTAACTTTCCTTTAATTTTTTTGCCTGAAATGTCATAGAAACACAAGACTAATAGTTTCAAAATTGGTTTCAAAATATAGTTTGGACACCGTTGATAATGTCTTAACCTATTATTCTAAATGTTTGAGCTATATTCTTGATAATATGTTATTTGTTCTTAAAAGTGAAAAGCCCACTTTATTCCACTTAGTTTAAACTTTTATTTCATGTCTCTAACTGGAAATTTAACTTTCTACCTATCTTCTGGAGTTGGAATTATCCACTTGGTTAAAGAATTTTATAAAACTTTTTATAATTCCAATATAAACTATATTTCTTTTTATGATTTCCTTATAGATGATGATTGGCAGGAAGCACATGAGCGACTGGCTGAATTGGAAGAGAAGCTACCGGTAGCAGTCAATGAACAAACAGGCAATGGAGAAAGGGATGAGATGGACTTGTTGGGTGACCATGAGGAAAATCTGGCAGAAAGTCTCAGTAAGATGGTGATTGAAAATGAACTAGAAGATCCAGCCATCATGAGGGCAGTGCAGACCAGGCCAGTGTTGCAAGTGAGTAAGTTACTCTGATTTGAGCATAGTAGCAGACTAATAAAGTGAAATATTGAGTTTTGCTATTTCTTTCATTTACTGTAATGAGAGATTTACATATACCGTGCTGTTAGTGTAATTCCCGATAACAATTCTGGAGATGAAGTTGGGGAATGATGTATACTCTGGGACTATAATTTCTTATTCTCAAGCAGTTGAGGCTCTTTTGGGGCTTTGTTTACCAAAAGTAGGTACTTCATGCAGAGAGCCCACACTATTCCAGACTTTGTGTATTTTTCTTTTTTGTTAGCCCCAACCAGGAGGTCTCAATTCCAGCATCTGGGATGGATCTGAAGTTCTGAGGCGAATCCGAGGACCATTGCTTGCTCAGGTATTAAACATTTCTCTTTAAATACAATTCCTCATCTGGGAAAATTTCAAGCTTGCTCCTGTTGTCATCCTTTCCTTGCAGAAACATATAGTTGGATTTCATTTGCCAGTCTTAGGTCGATTACTCCATCCAGCACTCATAGTTTTACCACTTTTTCAGCCTCCATGGAGGTGCTGACTTGACTGTGCTTTACCTGGAAAAGGTTGAAACAGGGGTGACCTGGAGAGTGACTGGGGCCAGGGAGAGGAGTGTCCAGCAAGGAGGAGGGTGACCTAGGAATGGGGAGGTGGAGGACTCAAGGATGAGAGATTCCCAGAGAGGGCCCACTGTGAACTGGATATTCAAACACATTCGGACTGGTCCACCTTCCTCAGAGCCCTGAGTATGCAACATGAAATTGGGGTCCCCCAACTCCAGAGGGGTTCCCCTGTTCCCAAGTAGCACCCTTAGTGACATCAGAAGCAAGTCCAAATTACCAAAGTTAAAGGTGGTTATTTGATTGGTTGGTTTTTATAGTAAGACCTTTTTGCAGTGCATGCAATAGACTTAATTGCTATATCTGTATTATATGGTTAGGCAAGAAGTGTTTACATGCAACAAGCATATGTGGAAATGCATTTCTGAAGACCAGAATAACTCAAGGCTGCAATTGTATTCAGAACAGAAAATAAAGTTTAAAATAATAATAAAGTAAAAGGTTGAAATGAACCATTATAACTCAAATTTGTCACCTTACAATTTGAGTTACTTGTAAAGTCATTTCTAGGCAGAACTATAAAGCTGGAGAATAGATCGGTGCTTGCAAGTGTTTGGGAGTGGTGGGAGAGGTTGACAACAACTCATACAACTCTACAACTCATACAACTTAACAAAAGGGAGATAAACAATCCAATCAAAAAATGGGCGAAAGACTTAGACACTTTTCAAAAGAAGACCTACAGAAGGCCAAGAGACATATGAAAACATGCTCAAATTATTCAACAGATGCATATCAAAAAACAACAGTGAGGTAACATCTCACACCTGTCAGAATAGCTGTCATCAACAAACGACAAGTGCTGGCAAGGATATGGAGTAAAAGGAACCATTTTGCACTACTGGTGGGAATGCAGATAGGTGCAGCCACTGTGGAAAACAGTATGGAGTTTCCTCAAACAATTAAAAATGGTGCTCCCATTTGACCCAGATATCCTACTTCTAGGACTATATCCTAAGAAATCAGAAACACCAATCAGAAAGTATATATGCACCCCTATGTTCATAGCACAATTTACAATAGCTAAGATTTGGAAACAGTCTAAGTGCCCATCAGAAGAGTAGATTAAAAAACTGTGGTACATCTATGCAGTGGAATCCTATGCTGCTATAAAAAAAGGAACTCTTTTTTTTTTTTTTTTTTTTTTTTTTTTTTTTTCAGAGAGGAAGGGAGGGAGATAGAGAGCTAGAAACATTGATGAGAGAGAAACATCGATCAACTACCTCCTGCACACCCCCTACTGGGGATGTGCCCGCAACCAAGGTATATGCCCTTGACCGTAATCGAATCCAGGACCTTTCAGTCCGCAGACCGACGCTCTACCACTGAGCCAAACTGGTTTTGGCAAAAGAAGGAACTCTTAACCATTTGCAACAACATGGATGGACCTGTAGAGCATTATGCTAAGCAAAATAAGCCAGTCAGAGAAAGATAAATATCACATGATCTCATTTATATTTGTGGAATATAATGAACAGCGTAAACTGATGAACCAAAATAGAGGCAGAGAAAAAAATATTTTAGAATATAATAGAAGTAATTCTGTTATTTGCAGGTTTTTTAATATTTTTAATATTTCCTGCAACTTTTGTGATATTATGTTATGTTAGTACAGTTTTGGTATTATATTTAAAATTCTTTTTCTTGAAATATCAATTTTTATTGCATGTAAAAAAACACTCTACAGAGGAAGTTTGAGGAATTGTAAAATTGTTTTATATTTTGATTGTGGTGGTAGATTCATGACTCTGCATTTATTAAACTTCAAAGAACTATACACCAAAGAGGGTACATTTTACTGGATATGAAATAAAAATAAAACTTAAAAATTTCTCGAGATACTTTGACATTTGTAGAGATTATTAACATGTTTCAAGTTAAGCTAAGCTTTTTTGTTTTTGTTTGCTACTTCCTTAATTAGGAAATGCCTACGGTGTCTGTATTAGAATATGCCTTGCCTCAGAGGCCCCCACAGGGCCCAGAAGATGATCGGGACCTTTCCGAGCGTGCATTACCACGGCGGTCAACTTCACCTATCATTGGGAGCCCTCCTGTTAGAGCTGTCCCCATAGGCACCCCACCTAAGCAGATGGCTGTACCCAGCTACAACCAACAGGTACCTCTCATTAACAGGCACTCAGCCCAGGATATTGGGAATCTGGGCAAAATTATTGGGGAAATTGGTGATGCTGGGAAGAGGGTGGAAATTTTGGGTAGGCATTAGATTAGAAAGAAAAATAGCCAATTAGGGGAGAAGTTAGTACCAATAAGAGACACATTCCCCAATGCCCCTTGCTGGTGCTGCTCCTGTTGCTGCTTTCTAAATGGGGAGAAAAGGGTAGTTAACCACATTTAGTGTATATGTCCTTTTTAAAGGGTTTTGCTGGCTGCCCAAAACATTAGCAGAGAGGTAAATGAAAGCTGGGGGGAGTGGGAACACACAGCATTGTCCACATCCCTTTTTACCTTTAAGATATCCCTGCTTTCCCTAGAGCCTGTGCAGTCCTGTTCCATAGACTTTCCTCCACCTGAAACGAGCAGCTGAAAAGGAAGGCCAATTTGGAAGGTATGGGGGGAGGGTGGTGTTGGTATGGCCTAGTTAGGCTCAGTATCCCATGAAATGGTGGAGTCACAGTATATCACTAAAGAGCTAAGCATGGCGGCCATATCACAGGGGCTTCAGAATAGGACTTAGTTAATCCTCCAGCTTTCTTATCATTCCTTCTCCCTCACTGCTACCAAAATATATACTTTTGGAGAGAATTTGCAAGTTTGAGTATCTGCTGGTACCTCCCTCAGATAGCATGGAAGGGTGGGGATAACTGGAGAATTAGCTAAATTTTCCTCAGTTAAAAGCTACTGATATTTGTGAGAGGTTCTGTATATGAACCCATAGCCTTAGCAATTGGTTTAGAAGTAGGGCTTTGCATTGTGTTCTGAGTCTCTACCAGTACTAGAAGGGAGGGAGTGTAGGTAGAGAAAAAACTGACTTCACTGAGTGTAGTTGTTTATATGTTTGTCCTCATAGATTCTGTGTCCGAAGCCTGTCCATGTTCGGCCCCCAATGCCACCACGTTATCCTGCTCCCTATGGTGAGAGGATGTCTCCAAACCAGCTCTGCAATGTCCCGGTATGTCACTCTACAACTAATGAAAATTAAGTCTATATTTTCCAATCACTGCCTATTTAATCACCATACAAGTATATGGACTTCTCTTAAATTATGCATAATTTGCCGAAGCTGGTTTGGCTCAGTGGTAGAATGTCGGTCTGCGGACTGAAGGGTCCCAGGTTTGATTCCGGTCAAGGGCATGTACATTGCTTGCGGGTGCGTCCCCGGTAGGGGGTGTGCAAGAGGCAGCTGGTCGATGCTTCTCTCTCATCGACATTTCTAGCTCTCTATCTCTCTCCCTTCCTCTCTGTAAAAAATGAATAAAATATATTTTTAAAAAAAATTATGCATAATTTTTTTTCTATCTCCATACCTGAATTTCTGGATCTTCTGGTCCCCAGATCAGAAGACATGGTTCATTATTCTCAGATGTTTCTTACATCAGTTCTTATCTTTAAAAACCTAAACTCAGCCGAAACTGGTTTGGCTCAGTGGATAGAGCGTCGGCCTGCGGACTGAAAGGTCCCGGGTTCGATTCCAGTCAGGGGCATGTACCTTGGTTGCGGGCACATCCCCAGTGGAGGTTGTGCAAGAGGCAGCTAGCTGATTGATGACTCTCTCTCATCGATGTTTCTAACTCTCTATCCCTCTCTCTTCCTCTCTGTAAAAAAATCAATAAAATATATTTAAAAAGAAAAAAAGAAAAGAAAGCAACAAAAAAGTTTTAAAAAAAAAAACAAACCTAAACTCAGCGTGATCATTTGTTTTCCTTCTATCTCTGTCCTTCGTTCTGCTTTCTTTTTCATGTTACATTATTTTTTTTTTCATGTTACATTATGATAGTACTTTGTAATTACATAATTATTCTCTTTTACATTAGTAGACAGCTTAACTGTACAGTTTAAAAGTGCTTTTTCCCCCCTGCGTTTTGCATTTTGTTGTTGTTCTGTTTGTTTTTAAATTCTTTATAATTGCAAGTATTACGTATGTCTCCGTTCTCTCTATTGACCTCTCCCCGATTGCTCCCACCCCCTAGCACATGCCCTTGCCCCCCCTTTTATCTTTGTTCATTGGTTATGCTTATATGTATACAGTTTAAGAGTTTTTATATCCAAGTTTGTTCTATATTTCTATTGAGTTTCCTTATTATATTGATTTACCTATTTCATACTATATAAATTTTATCTTTTTTTTTTTTTTTCCCCCTAGAACTCTTCCCTCCTGGGTCACCCTTTCCCTCCTAGTGTTCCTCCGGTTCTCAGCCCCCTCCAGAGAGCACAGCTTCTTGGAGGAGCACAGGTAAGCCATCAGGAGCTCAACCCATAAAGAGCTCTCTTACTTTCCTGAAGTTCACTAAATGATACCTTTCTTTTTCTCTTTGATCAATCACTACTGCCATTTCGAATAAACTTAACAATGTTAACTTTTCTGTGGATAAAAGCAAGGGGACTTGCTGATTAACTAAATCTAAGATTTTGTTCCTCTGTAGCTACAGCCTGGACGGATGTCTCCCAGCCAGTTTGCACGGGTCCCTGGATTTGTTGGTAGTCCACTTGCTGCCATGAATCCCAAGCTGCTGCAAGGGCGAGTTGGGCAGATGCTTCCCCCAGCACCAGGCTTCCGTGCCTTCTTTAGTGCTCCACCTCCTGCTACACCACCTCCTCCACAGCAGCACCCCCCTGGCCCAGGACCTCTCGTGCAAAACTTACGGTATACACAACAAGTGCTACTGTCTGTTTATTCATTGTTGGCTGAGTCTCCTATTGATGTTTAGTATTTTAATATGAAAGTCTCTTGATATTTGCAGGTAATAAATTTTGAGATGTTACTGGATCCCCAAGTTGCCAGAAGAGAAATGTTTGACAGTCTGCAGGCTTTCTTATAAATCACATTTTCCTTAAGTCACAAATTTCCTGTGTACATTTGCACATTCCTAATTAATCACCTCTTTTATTTCTTCTAAAGTTTATGTCTTACTCTATATTCATTTTACAAACACACACGTACTTATACAGGATGGGGCAAAAAATAGGCTTATAGTTGTGAATATGCAAAACACAGCTTTGCATTATTATCACTAGAAGCCCGTGCATGAAATTCATGCACTTGGGGGGAGGAGGGTCTCCCTCCAGCCCGGCCTGCACCCTCTTACAGTCCAGGAGCCCTCAGGAGCTGTCAGTCAGACATCCTTAGCGCTGCGCAGAGGTGGGAGAGGCTCCCACCGCCTCAGCTGCATTCACCAGCCGTGAGTCTGGCTTCTGGCTGAGTGGCGCTCCCCCTGTGGGAGCTCACTGACCACCAGGGGGCAGCTCTTGCATTGAGTGTTTGTCCCCTGGTGTTCAGTGTGCATCGTAGTGACCTGTTGTTCTTCTGTTTGGTCAATTTGCATATTAGCCTTTTATTATTTAGAATGTTGTTTTCCATATGAACAACTGTAAACCTACTTTTGCCCAACCCTGAATGTATCATTAAGGGTTCTTTAGAGAAACGGAACCAAGAGGTGCCATATATACATAATACAAGATGGGGCAAAGGCAGTTTTACAGTTGTGAGTATATGAAACAGAGTTTATTCTTATAGTATTATTTATTAATTATTGTTTTACTTTCCATATAAACAACTGTAAAGCCACTTTTGCTCCACCTTGTATTTTTTGTGTCATTCCCAAGTGATTGTAACTAAGAATGTTAAACCTAGAGCAATGGTCGCCAACCTTTTGGACCTCACAGACCACCAGTTGGCAACCACTGATTTAGACTTCTGTTTGACAGAAGCTAAGAGAAAAAGAATTACACTGCTTTTTTGTTAATTCACTCAATTTTATGATCACCTGCTCAGGAATTGAGAATTGGCCATTGTAGAAGACATAAGAACATATGGCTAACTTTTCCTTCTAAAAAGTCTCCTTAGAATAAACTTTAACATTCCCTTGGATGAACCTGTATAAAGTTATCTTATACTAACAACATTCTTGAAAACTTCAAATCATCAGGACAACAGAAATAAAAACCTTTTCTGTCTTTTCTTAGATCTCAGGCCCCAATGTTTAGAGCAGACACCACTCATCTTCATCCACAGCACCGTCGACTTTTGCATCAGAGGCAGCAACAGAATAGAAAGTAAGTGTTCACCCTCCTCCTTTGCAATTTTTTAATTCAGCTATTCATTTTGACAGTGTACATGGTGCTACTAGTTTATTTTTTTTTTAATATATTTTTCTTGAGGGATTGAGGGTCAATGATGAAAAAGAATCATTGGTCAGCTGTTTCCTGCATGCCCCCTAGTGAGGATCAAGCTGCAACCCAGGCATGTTTTCTGACTGGGAATCACACCATGATCTCCTTGTTCATAGGTCAACGCTCAACCACCTAGCCATGCTGGCTGGGCAAGGAGTTACTAATTTAGTTTACTTTTTAAGTAAATTTAAATAGTATTGAATTTATTTTACTGGTAAAGTCAGAACATATAAGATATCATTTTGTTTGTGATACACTAGATTCAAATAATAAGATTTTTGTCAGCTAATTTCCAAGTTACTATAATTCTGTTAATCAGAAATACAGTTTAGAACTGATTTTTTTTTTCTTTTAAGCCAAAATTTTATATTCTTACCGAGTTCTTACCATATTCTTACCTACCTTTTGTCTACCATCTCAGCTCTGAGATAATCTTGAATTATAGTAGTTAGCTTTATATTTGGGTCAGATGTAATGCCAACAGTCACTCTTTAATCTTAGCTATAATTCTTTAATCCTCATGCAACAAATACATATTGATACATGTGACCTCACTGTATGCCAGGCACTGTGGGGATTGAACAAGGCCTATAAAACCCTGCCTTAGGTTATAATCATAAAATTAAAAATTTTACAAAAATTTTACAAAAATTAAAAATTTAACAAAACTTAGATTTCTTTAACCTTCAGTTTAATGTCTGCTATGTATAGTCCATTCTGACATTCAAAGGAATGTGCCTGTCATTAACTCTGTGGGACTATACACTTTAGAATTTGATAAGAGGGTAGATCTCATGATAACTGTTCTGAGTAACAAAAGACCACACTAACATGCAGTTCCCAGTAGAACCTACATGGCTCATAAAAATGAAGTCTCAAAAAGCTCACTTGTAATTAGAAAAATGCAGATTAAAATTAAAGAACCATTTTACATCACATGGTTAAAATTTGAAGTGTCACTGACTTATTATCGGCAGGGTTGGAGTGTACAGTCTCTTAAGAGAGAATTTGGCAATAAATAATAAGGTTGAAAATGTGAATACACCACCTCTTAGTAGATCTATTTTTAGTACATACTTGTGTATATTATCAACATGGATAAGTATGAAAAGCAGTATTGAGTGAGAACCATTTATATAAAATTGAAAGGCACCCTGAATAGTAATGTATAACATTTAAAGATGGACACACAAGTAACCAAAGAACTTATGTGCACAAATGCATAGCCCATGGACATAGACAATAGTGCAGTGGGAAAAAGGCTGTGTGGAGGGAGGCAAAGAAGGAAGGGAAATGAGGGACATCTATAATACTGTCAATAATAAAAAATAAATTTAAAAAAGGAAAAAAAAGTATAAAAACAATTCAGGAAGGATACATATTAGAGTCGTTCCTCTAGAAACTGGGCTGGTATCCAACCAGAGAAGTACAAGACAGCCTTCAGCCGTAAATGTAATGCTTATTACTTTTTTAAAATCTTAAGCTAATTTGGCAAAATAGATTTTTTTCCCCCCATTATGTCTAGGTGGAAGGTAAATGGATATTTATTATAGTATTTTCTGAGTATTTCTCTACATTTGAATTATTTCATGATTTTCAACAAGTATAAGAAAGTATATAGACTAGTAATCAAATTGGCCTGTGTTCAAATCTCTTACTCTGACCAGTTGTGTAGCTTTGGACAAATTTGCCTTAGTTTATTGTCTTAAGTGGAAAAATAAACCTACCTCATAGGGTTATTGTAGGGCTTATACAAAAGTCTATAGATGAAAGTACTTAGCATTTGGTAAGGAAGTCAGATCTTAGTTTTATTTCCTTAACTGTGTATTGCATAGCTCTTGCCTTTCAAATTTTGTAAAGAGTCAGCTCTTTTTCACTTCTCTTTTAGCAAAAGCAAAGGGATATCTTTTTTTTTAATTGGCCTTGTTTATTCCTGTATTATTATAATGCATAATAAATGCCGCTTTAAGTGAATGTTGTATATGTTTTTCAGTCAGCATCGGAATCTCAATGGTGCAGGAGATAGAGGAAGTCACCGGAACAGTCACCAAGATCATCTCCGGAAGGATCCATATGCCAATCTCATGTTGCAGCGAGAAAAGGACTGGGTCTCCAAAATCCAGATGATGCAACTGCAAAGCACTGATCCCTACTTGGATGATTTTTATTACCAGGTAAATACTTTCTGCTAGTTTTGAGGGTCATAATTTAGTTCCTCCTCTGGTGAAAGCACTCATTTAAATATTGGTAGAATTGAACATTGATAGAATTTTCTTTTGAAGTAGTCTTCAAGTGGATAAGAATGACTAAATTCTGTCCTTTTTTTAAGCTGGTGAGCCTCTCACTAATCACTAAAAGGTTTGCATATAAGCCTTCTATTTTTCACAAATAGAGGCTCTCAGACCAATGTTTTCAAATCCCTTTGGCATCAGTAATCTGGTTCTGTCAATTAAGAATATTGGCAGTCTTTCTTGGCCTGTGTCACTCAGTTGGTAGGTGTCATCCCATGCAGGTTGCAGGTTCAGTTCCCCATCAGCCCAGTTTGCAGGCTCAAATCTCTGGTAGGGGGCATGCAGGAGGTAGTCAATAATGTATTACTCTTACATTGATGTTTCTGTCCCCCTCTCTAAAAAGTCAATTTAAAAATCTTTAAGAAAAAAGAATATTGCCAATCTAACTTTAAAGATATTTCCATTGATGATTAGCTTTTTTGAAGGCGGGATATTTTTTCATAAAGCTAATTTATAGCAGTTTAATAAAAATTAGAGACCAATACATTTACAGAAGGCAAGTTGTTGCAGTTACCAGTATAATTTTTTAATGGTAAAGAGCTGCCGTATATGTGCTTGTGTTGCAACTGAAATTCTTGTCATGGGCAGAATTACTTTGAAAAACTGGAGAAACTGTCAGCTGCTGAAGAAATACAAGGTGATGGTCCTAAAAAGGAGCGCACCAAACTCATTACCCCTCAGGTGGCCAAACTGGAGCATGCCTATAAGCCAGGTAAGCCCTTATCTCCTTAATGTAATAAGAGCAATTTGGTAGGCTGCTGATAACATAAAATATAAGTAACTGCATAGGTGACTGGATAGAAATGTTTAAAACTAATAAAGTAACGTTGTCCTTAGTAAATACCAAGGTCAACCTTTGTTCAAGTGTGAAGTAAATGGTTTGGTATGGACCTTTCAGGTCCTTTTCTACTTGAGATTCCATAACTTTTTAATGCCTTTTAAAATTCATAATACTGCTAATATAGATAAGAAAGGAACATTTCAGATCTCTATTTGATTATTATTGCAACAAAAAAAAATTGAAAAGGGTAAATTTTGATAAGAGCTTGCTTTAAATAATACTTGAATTTTTATAGTAAATTATTAAACTATGATAAAGAACAGAGAATATAAAGATCTCAGCTGTCTACCTGCATTGCTGAGTTTTTGTTGGAAATGTTTTGTCCTTGCAGTGCAGTTTGAAGGCTCTTTGGGAAAGCTTACCGTCTCTAGTGTGAATAATCCCCGGAAAATGATTGATGCTGTTGTGACATCTCGGAGTGAGGATGATGTAAGTGTCAGCAAAATTGTGTGTTTAAGAAATTCTGGGTCATCACTACTTCTTTTGGGGTCATTGTGGAATGGAATCATTATAGTCTAACCTAATCTGGAGCTTCTGATCTGACCTATTATGGCATTCTGGTTTTCTTCAAATGTGCTGAGATTCTAACACCATCTCTAAGGCAGCCAGGCAGGACCTGGGGTGGCAGGAATCTTTTCACTGGATAACTGGCTGCAAATAGCATCAGCTATTTTTCTCCAGTATTTAAATTATCATTTTCTATGTGTTTTAAGATTTTTCTATAATAGCTTCATCTTCTGCATTCTACAATTACCTTTGCCTATCTATGAGTTCCGTTTCATGGTTTGTGTGTGGATTTGTTCAGTCAACCTTATGACCCTTGTCCACATCAGTGTTTTTAGAATATTAACTTTCAAGAAGTCAAGATTGTCTTCTCAAAGCATTTTCAAAATGGAACTTACATATACAAACTTAGAAACTTATTTTTAATAGCAGTAAACAGTCCATATTAAATAGTCTTACCTTTTTTTTTTAGGAAACAAGAGAAAAACAGGTTCGGGACAAGAGACGAAAAACCCTTGTCATAATTGAGAAAGTAAGTTTTAGAATTTGTTGCTATGGTGTCAAATAAGGAATTGTCAAATGTATGTACTATAAGTAGAAAAGCAATCAGTGCTCTGTAATTTTAATTAATGGATAATTCTTAAGTGCCTATTATGTGCCAAGCACACCAGAAAGAAATGTGGTGTTCTCACCTGAGGCCTCAAGGAAGGCTCTCATGTTCACAGGTACTGGGTTTTGTCCAAACTTGTTCAGGTTAGAGTTGAGTGCTAGGTGCAGGTCACCTTTCTAGAACAATTGAAATAAAAATGACGTTGTTTCACCTATGAAATAATTGAGTCAATTCACATATATTTATTGGGCACTCCCTGGGTTCGGGGTGCTAAGAAAAATAAGATAACACACTGGTAGTTGTTTTGTGAAGTGTAAATACTAAGTTGCAAGGCAATAGAACATAGTGGTTAAGAGCACAGACTCTGGAACCAGGCTGCAAATCATGCCTTTTTCACTTTTAATTGAGTCTGTAATTTGAGGCAAGTTATTTAACCTTTCTGTGCTGTCCTCAGTTTCTTCATCTATAAAAATGGAGATGATGATAGTCTCTTTCTCATTGGGCTGTAGTGAGTATTCGGAGAATGAGTACTTACATGCAAAGTGCTTAGAACAGTGCCCAGCACCCAGTATAAAAATTAACTTTTTTTTTTTTTAAATCAATGTAAGGTTTCACTTGGAGCAGTGATACAGGTTGTGTATATTATAGAGCTGTTGCTATTAGAAATTTTAGAAAGTGTGTAATCTTTTCACTATCATTACTTTCTGGATTAGAGGTCAAGGAGACAGGAAGAATGGTATTTGAAGAAATTTAGAAGCTATTTCCTTATGTTTTTCTGGATTTAAAAGAGCACTTTTGTTCTCTGAATTTTATTACAGTGAGCTTTCATTCCTAGGTCTTTTATCTGGTAGTCCTAAACTGTGAGGTGATTTATCTAATATTCTGATCCTGACTTAGACCTACAGTTTGCTCCTGGATGTGGAGGATTATGAAAGGCGTTACCTCCTAAGTCTAGAAGAAGATCGACCTGCCCTGATGGATGAAAGAAAGCACAAAATTTGCAGCATGTATGACAACTTAAGGGGAAAATTACCTGGACAAGAGAGGTAAGAATTGTGTACTTTGAGGAAGACATGAGACTAGCAGGACTCCCTACTCTGCTAAACTGAATTTTATACATTTCTACCTTTTCTCTCTTACCATTTCAGTAAGCTACAAGTCTGTTCTTTTGGCTTAATTCAGATGCCACTTCATATAAAGCATTTTGTAATCCTTCCCAGCCAGGAAAAAAAAGTCTCTTTATCCTGAATTGATTTATTCAACAAATACTTACTTAGTTTTACTAGGGACGGTGCTGAGTGCTGGCGAGAAAGTGGGGAATATTATTCAGTTTCTATTTTTGAGCTTATGGATTGTACTTGGTTAATGCTTACTAGCATGCTCAACCTTGTAAACTTTATGTATTTTCTTTCCTACTAAGCTGAAAAGTATAAACATTTAAACTTCCTTGGGATTTTCATAGATTACTCATACACTATGGAAACATGTCAGTCTTTCAATGAAGACTAAGCTCCTTAATATATCTTTTTTTTTTTTTTCTGTATCTCTATTATCTCTCTCCCACCCAGTATCTGGAACAGAATCTTGCTAATGGTAAATGTTCTATAAATCTCAAATATTTATTTGATGAATGCAAGAGGACTATCTAAGCCAGGACATACACCAAACAGAACATAAGAATAAGCACCTTCTTTTCTGGAGTTGGGCTGACAGGGAACTGGTTGGATAAATATAGGTTTATCCATGGATTGGAATGTTATGCAGCCATTAAAACGTATGTAGTTGAAGTATATTTATTGATGTAGAGAAGTGTTCACAAAAAGTTGGGAAAAGTGAGGTAACAAAGCCACATGAATTCTATGGAATTTTATTTTTTCTGTTAATCCTCATCTGAGGATATTTTTCCATTGATTTTTAGAGAGAGAGAGAAAGAGAGAAGCATCAATGTGAGAGAGTCATATCAACTGGTTGCCTCCCACCCACGCCCAGACCAAGAACCTGCTCTCAAGGTACGTGCCTTTGACTGGGACCTTTCAATCTTCGGACCAACTCTGTCCACTGAGCCAAACCAACTAGGGCTGGACCCATTTTTTTAAAAAAATATATTTTTATTGATTTCAGAGAGTGAGGGAAAGGGAGAGAGAGAGAGAAACCTCAGTGATGATAGGGAATCATTGATCAGTTGCTTCCTGCATACCCCCTACTGGGCACCAAGCCCGCAACCCAGGCATCCTTGACTAGAATCGAACCCAGGACCCTTTAGTCCATAGGCCTATGCTCTATCCACTGAGCCAAACGAGCCAGGGCTGAACCCATTTTTTTGTGAAAGATAAAGATAAAAGCGAAAAATTTATTCAAAATGTTAACACTACTTTTCAGATTATGGAGTTTTAATTTTCTTTTTGCTTATATAATTTTCAGATTTTGCTGTATTAACCATGTTATTTTGTAGTTAGTTAAAAGTTAATAAAGGAAATTAATGCATATGGTTTGACCAAATTTTTTTAACATACAGTTTTTGAAATAATGTTCTACATTTGAGAAACTTGAAAAATTATTTTTTATTATTTGATTGAGAATTGGAGAAGTTAATTCTCACTATTTTGTAGTACAGATAATTGTAGAGTGAAAATGAATGCAGTATATTTATTTAGTAACATGCAAGAGGGAAAGGAGATTTTATATTGTTCTTGCTGACCTAAGTTAGCATTTTTTCTTCCCCTGCAGGCCAAGTGATGACCACTTTGTACAGATCATGTGTATCCGAAAAGGGAAGAGAATGGTTGCCCGCATTCTCCCTTTCCTCTCCACAGAGCAAGCAGCTGACATTCTCATGACAACAGCCAGGAACCTCCCATTCCTTATCAAGAAGGATGCACAAGATGAGGTGATCCTCATGTGGGAGGGAGGGATGTCTTCTTTGGGTCTTCGTAGTATGATTTCTAGAATCCAAATTTCTTTTCCTCCCTTTCTTTTTGTGTTGCTTTTCTAATCTTTGGCAGTGTGACTTGATTATTTAAAATAAAAATTTACTCCAGACCTGTATTTTTAATTCCATGTTTCATCCCACAGACCAGGTTCTAAATATGAAGAAAACAGTAATTCCTTCTTATTTAACACTAGAGTCCAGGTGCATGACATTTGTGCACTCAGGAGGGTGGCCTTTCGCAGTCCAGGAGCCCTCAGGGGATGTCCAACTGACAGCTTAGGCCTGCTCCCTTAGTGTTGCTGCTGTGGAGGCGGGCCGCTGCACTCGCCAGTGGCTGAGCAGCGCTCTCCCTATGGGAGTTCACTGACCACCAGGGGGAAGCTCCTGTGTTGAGAGTCTGCGCCGCTCCCCACTTCCCCCCTTCCCATAGTCAGTGCGCATCATAGCAACCAGTTGTTCCGCCATTTGGTTTATTTGCATATTACCCTTTTATTATATAGGATAATTGTAAAGCTGTGGTCTGTATCTGAACTACTTGGGAAGCAAATAGTTTAGCCCTACCCCAAATATGCTGAATCAGAATTTACAGAGAAAAGATCTGTATCTATAACAAAATCCCAGCTGAATATGATGCCCACTAAAGTTTGCAAATTTATGGTCTTGGTTACTTTGCTAGATATAAAATAGCACTCATTGGGCTGTTGTCACCAGCTCAACATTTACCTGTAGCCTGAGTTGAATGGCATCCTGCCCACAGACATCAGGCCAATACTTTTAAGTAACTTTTATCACAATCTATACTAGGTTGGATATTGAAACATGATTACCAAGTTTACAAGTTAACTCTTGGTGAGAATTATTCTCTGCTTATTCCTGTCATAAAACTTGAAAGACTAGCAGTCTTAGAAATTCAAAACAAAAAATTAATAGGGTAGCACAAAGGGCTAGTACCATTAACTGTGAGATTCAGAAGAATAGAATTAATGATAGTGAACCTGTTAGAATAGACTACAAGTTAAGTAACAACCATCTGGTAATAGTCCCCAGAAACATGATCTCAAGATACCTTATCAGTGATGTAACATGAAAGTTGAAAATTATTCCTTTTGAAATGAGTTGAAAAAAATACCTTCTTGAAATTTTAGCATCTGCAGAAGAAATGAATGTGAAGTTTAGGTCTTATCATTGGAAAATGGGTTGGAAGTTAAGGATTTGAGGTTTATCCTAGAAAATAGAAGACAAGAATAAAAGTAATCGCTATTGCTGGGACCGGTTTGGCTCAGTGGATAGAGCGTCGGCCTGCGGACTGAAAGATCCCGGGTTCGATTCCAGTCAAGGGCATGTACCGTGGTTGCGGGCACATCCTCAGTAGGGGGTGTGCAAGAGGCAGCTGATGGATGATTCTCTCATCAATGTTTCTAACTCTCTATCCCTCTCTCTTCCTCTCTGTGAAAAATCAATAAAAAATATATTTTAAAAAAAGTAACCTATTTTACAGCATATAAATTGTAGGCAAGGAGGAAGACATTCATTCATCATAATCTCAGAGGAACTCATTAAAAGAAACTAGTTGGGAAAGCACAAACCAACTTGAAGGAGCTCTCACTGGTAAAAGTGAGATTATTTTTATCTTAAAGAAAAATTACAGAAGTGGATTGAGGTAGAAATATTTAATGAGTTTATAATGATACCAAGAAATATGTCAATCATATACAGAGATTGCTAGGCCATCAACTTAATATTCTGAAAACTGATAAGTAAAGGGAAAGAATCAAGCTTCACTCTGCCTTTCCATTATAACCAAATATGGTGACCAGAGAGTTTATAATAGAAAGTTCTTTATAGAAGAACTAGAGGCCCGGTGCACAAAATTCATACACGGGGGGGGGGGGGGGGGTGGCGGGTCCCTCAGCCCTGTCTGCAACCTCTCAATCCAGGACCCCTCAGGGAATATCAGGCCTAAACCGGCATCCTCTTGCAATCGGGACTCTGCATGCACCAGCGATCATACTTTTCATACAGGTGAAAGGCATCTTGCTGTTGTATGGGCAGCTACATTTTTACATTTTTTTGCCCTGATTATAAAAAGTAGTACATAACATGATCCTTCTAAAGCAGTAGTATCATTTTCCCTATCTTCTGGTTAGAAACACTGAAGTTGAGAGAAGTTAAATAATTGGCTTTGTCACACCTAAGTTATAAGTGTCAGAATCAGAGCTAACGACAAAATGTGCAAGCTGGAGTCCATGCATATCATCACTGCATCATTCTGTTTTTTAAGTGTTAGAGTAGCCTTGCCAGGTTTTAATTTTTAAATCTAAGAGACTGTTCCCAATATTTAGGGTAGGGTCCCTAGGCCTGGCCAGCGATCAGGGCCATCAGTGGGGCTATCTGCAGACGGGGCGATCCGGGTTGCCACGGCTGGCACCTGCCTTGGCTGGTGGCCTAGCACCACTCACCAGCCGGCCCCACCCCCCAATCGCCACTGCCAGTCATCTCCCTCTCTGGGGGCAGATGCTCAACCCAGGAGCTGCCCACAACCAGTGGCAGCTCCTGTGTTGAGTGTCTGTGCCCTAGTGGTCAGTGCATGTCATAGCAACCTGTTGTTCGTCATTCAATTGATTTGCACATTAGGGTTTTATATAGTATTTCAGTTACTAAATGCAAAAATATGATAAAATTAGAAAATTGTTTTACAACCCCCAAATGGAAAAGCAGTCAATCTGAACAGCAATCATTACTGATACTAAAAGCATTAGGTTAAGGGTGGGTAGAGGACTTTACATGGGTTGGAGCAATCTAACAACACCTGAACCCACTGGTCACTGTTCACAACACTAAGAGGGGAACTACCAGATGTCATATACATTTTGACATGATGCAGTAGAAAGCACATAGTTCTACCAGCCCTCCAGTAAACCTCACACAGGTGCAAATAACCAGATCTAAACTATGAGACAAATGAGAAAGTTTCTTCAACAAATAAATTATATGGGAAGAGGAGATGGACAGTGACGGAGGACCTGTTGTTAACAGATTTTAAAAGCCCTACCAACCAACCAAGTGCGGTCAATGAGTAGATCTTATTTGAACTATGATTAGAATAAATCCACTCTAAAAGACATTTTTTTAAATAATTGAAGAAATTTTAATTTGGAGTAGATATTAGCCGATATTGAGGAATGAAATTTTGCGAGGTGCAATAATATGAGAGGTTTTGTTAGAGATACACACTGAAGTATTTATAGATGAAATGATAAAGGAGGAACAGATTGAATAAAATTTGGCAAAATATTGGTTTAATTGTTGAAGTTTCGTGATGGGTAGGAACATGGACTTCATTATACTGCTTTTATACTTTTGTGTATATTTTTAAATGCTTTGATTTTTAAGCTTTATTTAGAGTAGTGGATCACAAAAAGTAGCCTACTCTCCACCCTTGGCTACTTTATAAAGTAAAACCAGCCATCATTTTTTTATAGCAGGGACATTGAGTGCTGGAAGCACTTTTGATTTCCTTTCATGTGTTGTAACCTAGTTATGTTGGTAGCTCTGTATTTTAACTTTTCAGTCCAGTTTAATGGCCAAAAGGAATGAATGGCCAACAGGCTGGAATTCATGGGTTCTGTTTTTAGCTACTAGCTCTATAACTCTGAACACTGAGCTTAGTCACTTAGCTCCCCTAATAATCTATAAAATTATTAAATCATTTTTCCATTTCTTCATTGAGCTTTTATAAAGATATACCAAAATAGGATTAACTCTGAAAATACTTCTCAGTAATTCTGTAGCATTCTTAGAGTGTCTCACAATATATTGAAATTGCTTAAATACTCATCTTCTTTGTATTTTTGATCCCTGAGGGTCTATCTATTCTTTTAACTTTTGTTTTTAGCCTAAATTCCTGGTACATTGTAGGCATTTAAATATTTGTGGGATAAATTAAAATACTGATGTTTTATCATGAATCTTTTGTGTTTGAGAAGTGATTTTATTCCCTGGCTTCACACAAGTCATGATATTTCATATGCAAATTGAGTTGAAAAGTTCTCCGTAGATACCTTAGAATACTTTGTTAGGATTCTAGTAGTATCTGCTAGACTTGTCAGTCCTTTTTTGTTAAATCTCACCTCGGGCAGTTGAGTATACAGCCTAGCACCCTTCTATCCAGGCTCACATACTAAGGGTGACTGAAGTAACAGTTGCCAGGATCTAATGTTTTATTTTTTCTCTATAGGTGCTGCCATGCTTATTGAGTCCCTTCTCCCACCTCCTCTATCATCTTCCGTCAGTGACTGTCACCAGCCTTCTGCAACAGCTAATGAACCTACCTCAGAGTGCAGTTGCACCAGCACCCTCTAATCCTCACCTTACTACTGTTCTCCAGAACAAGGTGGTCTTGCCTTTTTCGCCCCTGAACTTTACAAGGCTTCTAAATTTGAGTTACAGATAACACTAATGGCTGCTGTGGGTATGGCAACTTGTTAAAAATGTTTCCTTTGTCCAGAGTTACATTAAAGTTCCTAGTAATAGAGGCTAGAGTTAACAGTGGTTTCAACAAAATAGGATTTTATGTATCTCATGTCAGTAAATATGATATAGTGACTCCACTCGTGGTCAGGGACGCAAGCTCATTGGATTTGCCTTCTCATGACTCCACTGGGTCCATGATGATTGTAGAATTCAGGTCTCCACTTTGCATCAGGAAGAGAGGTGGGTACGGATGGCTAAAACATGTGGATTAGCTGTCTGTCTTCCTTATGGACCTTTTCCAGGAGTTTTCACCAACCATTATTTAAAATCTCAATGGCCACTCTTAGTCACACACCACACCTAACTGCAGAAAGGGTGGAAACATCTTTTAGTTCACACCATTGTCATCTCAAATAAAATTAGAGTTCTCTTAGGAGAAAAGTACATTGTGGTGGGTAAATAGCAGTCTTTGTTACATGACTTTATGTAGAAGAACATCCCATTTTATATTTAATTTCCATCAAGTTAAGTTTCCAGAGACTGATAGGGGAAGCATAAACCGAAGAAGGAGCATGAGCTTTTAAACAGAGCAACTTTTCATTCCTTGCCTGCCATTGTCTAGATTTGTGACTCTGAATAGATTATTTCATTTTGCTGAGCCGTGGGTTCCTGGACTGTGGTGATTTCTACTTCAGTGTTTATGTCCACTTCAGGGTTTTCTTATTACTGAGATGCGAGAACAGCCGTGAACAGTTCGTTGTAATGTGCAGTACATATAGGCATTAAGGGCCATCTGTTAGAGTGAAGTGAAAAAGTAGGCTCTTTCCTTGCCCCCCAAAACTGCCAAAGCATGACTCTAGAGAGGGAGCATTTGCAGTGCCTCAGGGACTTCATATGGGGTTCTGGGGTGATCAGTTATGTACCCTCCATATTATTTGGTTTCCTGGTACTAATTTTGATAAAGGCATAGAAAATTGTGAGATTAGATGAAATTATATAGCCCAGTGTTGTTTTCAAGACATGAAGGGAACTTTTTGGGAAAGGCAGGGTTATCTTCTATGAAGGGAACTTAGGTGGGGTGGAATCTCAAAATATCCTCATCTTCTCTTTATGATCCATCATAACTGTGACTCAGACATTAACCCAATACTTCTGGTTCCTATTGCATTTTCATTCTATGCTCCTTTAGACTGCATGTTTCCTGCTTTTACCACTACCCCATAAATAAAACAAATCTTTATATATTTTAATTTCTAAAACATGTTGCAGAAATCGTGATAATCCTAGTTATGGTGAATAGAAACTTCCCTTTTAAATTTTTTTTAGACTCTTATTAGTATCCTGTCTGTCTTTTTATTTCCAGATAGGTATGTCCTTTTTTTTTCTTTGTATCCTGATCATTCCAGTTACGTTTCTTTGTACTTTTTCCACAGGTTTTACTACCTGTTTTTCTTAATTCAAAATATCTTGCTCTTTTTAATGTTTTTTAAAATTTTTTCCATGAACTTTAATTTTTTGTATCAAAGTTTGTCTTCATTTAACTTTCCTTTTTAATTCATTTATCCATGACAAGGAAAAGTTATCTTTTTATCACAGGGTGGGGTTGGGGAGCAGTGAGAACTGTAGGTCACTGGGACTTTTGTTTCCATTGATTATGCTTTTTGCTGCTGTGCAAGGAGAAAGGCACAGTGACTTCGCTCATGGTTGTCTGATCTTTGCTCAGTCTCACTGAAGAGCACAGCGGTAGGGTCATTTTGATTTGCTAGTAGTGCCATTTCCCCTGCGTGGTGGTGGAGAGGATGCAGTGTTGAACTTGAATCCCTCTCTCCTCTTGTAGTTTGGCCTGTCACTGCTCCTCCTCGTCCTGAGCCGTGGGGAAGACCTACAGAGTTCAGACCCTGCTGCAGAATCAACGGAAAACAACCAGTGGTTAGTCTGTGCTGTATTTCTTCTTTTAAGTTCTTTTAGGTAATCTTTTCATTCTTTTTCTTACATTGTTATTATTGATTTTCCCTTTCAGGATGCAAGTGATGTTCATGGCAACCAGAGAACTTCTGAGGATTCCCCAGGCAGCCCTGGCCAAGCCAGTCTCTATCCCCACAAACCTAGTATCCCTCTTTTCTCGCTATGTTGACCGACAGAAACTGAATTTGCTGGAGACAAAACTGCAGTAAGTTAGCAACAGGAGAATTCCATATTTCACTAACGTTGGCACTTTAGAAGTTATGCAGGGAGGGGGCGGAGCAGGCATAAATCTGAATTTGGTGGAAGAGATTACAGACTTCTGTCAAATATATGAGTATCTGCTAGATATCAAACACTGTACTGGATGCAGTAGCACCCTCATAGTTGACTGAATGCTAAGGGTAGAGACAAGAGACATCTCAGGTGTTTCGTTAAGATAATTTTTACAAGAATGTAATTTTATGAAAAACATTGCCTTCTGTTCTAACTCATTTATACAAACAAGTTTTCTTTCTTTCTTTATACCTGTAGGCTAGTTCAGGGGATACGATAAAAGATCTGCACATGTGTCCTGTACCTCTTTGGCTGTCACCTGCACTGCACTGCTGCCATCACCAATGGAGTGTTTGCAATGAGGGAGGGGAGGTAGCTCATTCCTCAGAGCATCTTGTGTGGCTGAGTCCTGTTCACAAGGGTTGTCTCTAAATGCCAGATGTTTCCCCACTGCTCTGTGACGTTCGGTTGGGTGATACTTCTGCTGGTTTCTTCTTACCTTCTTTGTTACAATTCTGCATGTCCTACTTTTACTCAATTCTTCTCGATTTTGCATTTTCTTTGCTCTAGAGACACAAATATAATCTCTCCCTTTATCCCACCACTACCCCATTTCAGAATAGATTATAGCCTGCCAAAGGATCCCTCCCTGCATCTTACTGAAGTCTTTTTCATTGCCCCATATTAATGTGACTATAGGAGAACCAACTAAGTAGAAATTAATATACGTGTGTGTGTGTGTGTACACACACCCCTCTACATATGTTTCTGTGGTCTCCAGAGGATCCTTAAAGATTGAGCGTTAGAGGGAGAAATACTCAATTGACATCCATCCTTTAAATACAAACTAGCTGATATATTCTTAATCTGTTTCTAGTCCTTCTTATAATTAATTTGGTGAATTCCCCTTGTTTTAACATAAATACAGAGTATGCCAGCAAATTAATAAAATCAGAACTCAATTGGCTGACACCCAGCTCTAGACTGAGAAGTCCTTTTTTTCTCCTCACTTGAGTTTCCTTTGTTTCTGTTCACCTGAATGGAAACAGCATACGGTTAAGCCTTTATCCTGCTACAGCTACAGTGTACTTGAGCCTGTCCTCCCAAGTGTGTGGAAGATTGCCCAAGGTGATTCTGACTTAGAGCCTGCTTCCACAGTGTAGCTTTTGTCTTCCTGAGACTACTTCAGTAAGCCATGCTTTTACCTCTCTCTTCCCCATTTTTATTTGGTGACCTGGATAGAAATTTCTAAATGTAACCATGGAAGCTAAGTTGGACTTGCTTTGTTCTTCATTCTCTATGCCACTGGGCCATGGGCAGAACTGCTGTCCTTGCTACTTCATCTCACTCAGGTCCCATCCCAGGGACTAGACATGAATCCTAGCAAGGATAGCATTCTGTGACCCTTTTCACTATTCTCTCTCCCATTCAGCAGTCAACCAGGATAAGGGGTTTTGATCCATGGTGATTATAGCCCTCAAGAAAAATCTGACTCCATTTTACATGACTGTCCTAATATACTTTTTGTTGTTCTCACCTTTCGAATGTAGTGGGGAAGACAAGTTGTGATGTTTAAAGAGAATAAACATTTTGCACATACATGTATTGTACAACAGTAAAATCCTCCATTATAACCAGTTGTCCTTGTCTCCATCTCCATTTCTTCTCATTCTGTAGCCCCAGGCTCCACCAACTGTTCTCAGTGACATCACTAGCTTCCCTGCCATTATCAACTGACTTATTTCCACTGGGCACCTTTCCTGCCTTTCCACTTCACAACCAATCAAGTGAATACTTGATTAGTATTTCTTCTTTTCTGTGCTTTTTTGTTTGGTTCTAACTAATAAAGATTAAAATTTCTAAATTTACATTTTTATAGGGTATTGTAAATAAATACAAATTGTATACTTGAAAAAAATGTGTGCCAGCATCATTTCTTCTTTCTTGTTACTTCTTAGCATGGTTTTACATTTGTTTCTAGCATATCATATTTAGGTAGACTGGCAAGTCTTGGTGTTGGAAATTGATAAGGATATTACCTAATGTTTTTACCTTTTTTTTTTTTTTTTTTTTTTTTTTTTTTTTTTTTTTTTTAAATATATTTTATTGATTTTGTACAGAGAAGAAGGGAGAGAGATAGAGAGTTAGAAACATCGATGAGAGAGAGTCATCAATCAGCTGCCTCTTGCACATCCCCTACTGGGGATATGCCCGCAACCAAGTACATGCCCTTGACCGGAATCGAACCTGGAACCTTTTGGTCCCCAAGCCGACGCTCTATCCATTGAGCCAAACCGGTTTCGGCTGTTTTTACCTTTTTATTGTTGTTGTAATGTTAACATGGTAAATTTCCTTTAAAAACCTAGAGTGCTTTCCATCCTCTCTCCATTTTAACTACAAAATGGAATTATGAATTGTAGATATATTATAGTTCATCTTTTTCATGCCATCTATCTCTAGGCACATGTGACTTTAAGAGACTCATTTAATCCAGTTTGGCCTTAAGCTGCCCTCACAATTCATCTTCTCAAAGGAGATGGGGGAAATTTGTCGATTTGTTAGAGTAAATTTATGTTACTTCAGATAAAAGGTTCTGCTCTACCCCTTTCTCTGCCATCGTAGTGTGTGCAGTTGAGTCTTTTTCTCACCATGTCTTCTCACAGACTTTCAGGGTCAAGCAATTCTTAACTGACAAACAAAAGCAGAATCATCCCATTCCCCAATGGATTCAGCTGAAAACTGGTAATAAATCTGGTACAACTCCAGGAGGAGACACTAAGGCCAAAGTAAATCTAAGGAATTGGATTTAAGATGGCACACACTTGTGTCACAGTCACCAGCCTCTACTTCTTCTTTTTAAATATATTTTATTGATTTTTTACAGAGAAGAAGAGAGAGGGATAAAGAGTTAGAAACATCGATGAGAGAGAATCATCCATCAGCTGCCTCTTGCACACCCCCTACTGGAGATGTGCCCACAACCAAGGTACATGCCCTTGACTGGAATTGAACCCAGGACCTTTCAGTCCGCAGGCTGACGCTCTATCCACTGAGCCAAACCGGTTTCAGCCAGCCTCTACTTCAGATTGGACTTTAATGCCTTCATTTTCAGTGGACTAATTAAGCAATTGCCTCCAAGAAACATCCAAAAAGGAGCAATTCAGGTTATAATGATCAAGTCCAATTGCAGTGTGTCAGGATCAGGGTTAGAGGAAGGCCCTTGTGAGGCATCTGGTCCTTTTGGTTTACGCATTTTTGAAAAGAAGAAAAAATAAGACTCCTTGCTTTCACCCTTCCGTCTCTATTCCAGTATTCTAAAATGCATTGTATATTAGATATATTCAGTTATAGGTTAGTGGTTCATTCATTCATTGCATTACTACATGAGCTCTTATAAACACAGGAACTGTCTTATTCACAGCTGTAACCAAGACCCATCACAGAGACAACACCTAGCAGGCATCAAACAAATGCCTGTTCATTAAATAGTTATGCTATGAAGAAACAGCATAGGATTATTCAGAGGACAGACCTTAATATAATAGCCTGTGAGTGCAAGGCCCATTTCAAAATACATGTTACTGTTTTATCGAAACAACCCTAGGTCAGGACCAATTTGATAATTTAAGGAAAGCCCTTGTATCCAGTGTTACTCCAGGTACAGTGATGACAAAGACAAAAGAAGGTCCTACTCTGGGGCAATTTACGTCCTAAGGGCAGTACTTATAATGATAAGAGCTAAAAAGAGAACAAAAGAGGAATTCAGTGATTGTAGGATGTGTACTTCAGACAATGTGGTCAGGAAATACCTTGTGCATGTGACATTTAAGCAGGCATATGAGTAATGAGAAGAAGACTGTCATGCAAAGGTCTCAGAAGACCTCAAGCAAAATGAAGATGGCGAAGACCCTGAAATGAGAATGAGTGAGGAGTTGAAGGGGCCATGGCAGGGTGAAGGGAGTAGGATATGGGGTCTTAAAGGAACCTATTCTCATTGCATGGGAAGCTTTTGCATAGTTTTTAAAGAAAAAGTGCAAAACAACATATACTCTGATTTATGAGCTCTACAAACACAGGAACTGTCTTATTCACAGCTGTACCCAAGACCTAGCAGGCATCAAACAAATACTTTTAAAAACCACTTTGCCCTATGGAGATGAAAATAGACAAGAGAAAGGGACACTTAGTAGAGAGCCTCACAACACTGTTCCTGGTCTACAGAATGAGGAGACTGAGCCTTTAAAAGGCAGTGATTTGAGAATAAATTTTTTGAAAATAGACAAGATAGTGGTTAGCTTTGGGAGTGTTTAGGGGAATGGGATGTAGGAAATTGATTACTTTGAATTATGTTGAATGGTGGATTAATGGGTATTACTTTTACTATTGTGTTTTATGACTTTCATATACTGTATCACATGCCTTCTATGGATGTTATGGATTAAATTGTGTCCTTCAAAACTAATATTGGCCGAAACTGGTTGGCTCAATGGATAGAGTGTCGGCTTGGGAACTGAAGGGACCCGGGGTTCAATTCCGGTCAAGGGCATGTACCTTGGTTGCGGGTACATCCCCAGTAGGGAGTGTGCAAGAGGCAGCTGATCGATGACTCTCATCGATGTTTCTAGCTCTCTATCTCTCTCCCTTCCTTTCTGTACAAAATCAATAAAATATATTTTAAAAAAAACAACAACTAATGTTGAAGCCCTAGCCCCCGGAACCTCAGAATGTGATTGTTTTTTGAGAATGGGCCTTTAAAGATGTATTAAAATAAAATAAGGTCATTAGTGTGGGTGGGCTCTAGTCTATAGGACTGGTGTCCTTATAAGATTAGAACACAGGCACAGAGAGGAGACCATGTGAAGACAAAGATAGTAAAACAGCCATCTGAAAGTTGAGAGTCCAGAAAGCCAACCCTGCCACAACTTGATCTCA